AAGAAACAGTTTCTACGAGTACACGTTGATGTAAGCTTCACAATTTCTAGACATTCGTTAAAGAAAATTTAGTCTTTGTAAAATTAGTAGTTGAACAAAGATCCGACTCGAAATTTAGTAAGCATTCATCTATAAATAAAGAATTTCAATTTATAATAAGAATCTTTAGCAATCCAAATTTTCAGCCAATTAAAGATATCCTTTTTACGAACTTATTTCCCTTTTGTTTTTGATGAATTTTATTATAAGCTCTTTCATGTGACTATGTTGATTTTTCTTTCTTATTAGTATAGCTATATTCTCACAAACGTACCAAAATAATCTGAATAATCATAAAGAATTACACGATCATTGTATAAAATGATGACTGCCAGCGATCCGTTGTTCGACATTAATCAATTAAGTCCTGAACAACAAAAAAAGTTTCATATTGTTTACAATGAATTGAAACCACATCATACATCATATTTCCAATATAAACTTAATTTACAACTGAAGACTAAGTTGGATAGTGAAGAAGAAGAAAATGAATGGTGCTATGAATTGTATAGATATCTTCGTGCAAGAAAATGGAATGTAGCGCATACCATTAAATCTATTCTGGAAATGATACAATGGCGAATGGACAATAACGTTGATTCTATCCTTGAACACGAACCCACGTCACATCGAGTGGATCTGCTTCGAAAAATCGTTCCTAGTATTTATCATGGCCATACAAAAGCTCATCGATCGTTGTATATCGAGAGATCAGGTCTGATAGATGTGGATAAGATATTGAATATGTTTACGCCACAGGAACTGCTACAATGCCATATTTATTCACTTGAATTCAATTGTCAGCTGGCACGAGAGTGCAGTCGACAACTAGGAAAACATGTGGAAACTTTTGCTATGATTTCGGATTTGAATGGTTGTAAACTAGACATAAGAAAAGTATTTCATTTGTACAGACAAGCTCTTCATGTTGATGAGAACTTTTACCCTGAACGTCTAGGACAGATGTTCATTGTAAATCCGCCATTTATTTTCCCCATTCTTTGGAATTTAGTAAAACATTGGTTTGATCCGGTAACGCAAGCAAAAATCATTGTCATTAAAAAGGGGCCTGAAACATCAACATTATTATTACAACACATCAATTCTGATCAATTGCCGCAAGAATATGGTGGAAGCTGTAATTCATGTCCGACTTTTCCGGACTGTATTCCTGTGTATGATTGGAGTAAAGACACTGCTGACAATGATAAACGAGAGGAATAGAATAGTATGATTTTCTTGTTCCATCAAGTGGTTAAACCACGAAGTGTCTATTGCAGTAAAAATAAAAAAAGCTAAGTTCTTGAAAGTCAAATTATGTTCTTTTGTATCTTGCAGTTTATAATGAAACATACTGTTATTCTAAAACAAAGCTTGTTAGCGCAGCCTCTTTGGAGCTGAAATGTGGAACTCACATATACTCTCTAGGCTCACTGAACTAATACAAAAAACGTGAAGGGAAAGATCTCTCGTAGATTATACAGTGCTGGCCAAAAGTTCCTCACCCCCCTGAACTTCACTCAAAATAAGAGTTAGACAGCTGAAATTTTGTATGTATATACCCTATGATGAATGCTGATCGCAGGCATAAGCCCCGTCATAATTGCTCGAGTTGGAACGGAGTTATAATAGGTAGTAGTCATGTCCCTTGTGAAACCCATAATTCGAGAAAGGAAAGACCGTTTGAGTCGGCCAATATCTCATTGTGTAGCACTCTATTCTACCTATCTACAGTATAAATTTCAGTGAATTTCATCGAGTCGTTGTAGAGTTATGACAATTTTACTATAATCATTGATGTACACGAAAACCATGTAATGGCATTGTGAAATTCATAACTCAGTGAAAGCTTAATGGATCCATGTGAAATTTTCAGGAGATGTTCCATAACAGTTCCCCATTGTTTCCTGAAATTTTTAGAAGCAAACATTGTATTAGAAGAAAATGGCACATTGCTCATCATCAGGTACTTGTCAAAGCTCTAGAAGTCCACATTCTCGAGCAAATGTACTCATTTTTTTACCAATGAAAGATAATATCTGGGGCTTCATTTCTATACTAAAATATTTATAATTACTCGGGGATTTAATAAAATAAAGCAAAAATTTTTTATATGTACTTTTTTGCATGTTGTCAGTAATAATAAGAAAATGCAGTCATATGACAGTATATCACTCGAAAAGTCTTTTGGAACACCTCAGAGCTCTTCAGAAATATTTAAAAGCAAAACTGTGGAGCTCTCTAAGAAGTTGCAAATCACTATTTGATAGTAAATCATATGTTGCACACATCAGACAGTCATAAGAGCCGTTTTAGAATAACATATCTTGGAAACAGCATATTCTTATTGATTGGACTATGGTATACTTGGACATATTAGTGAGGAATTTTATTGCAAATGTCAATAATTCTAAGCCAAATATGTCTTTGTGTAACGCAAACAGGTAAATTGTCTTGATCTGTGGAGTTCGCGAACGAGCCGAAAAGACTTCTCGAGTGATATACTGTCATATGACAGCATTTTCTTATTATTACTGACAACATGCAAAAAGGTACATATAAAAACTTTTTGCTTCATTTTATTAAATCCACGAGTAATTATAAATATTTTAGTATAGAAATGAAGCCCCAGATATTATCTTTCATTGGTAAAAAAATGAGTACATTTGCTCGAGAATGTGGACTTCTAAAGCTTTGACAAGTACCTGATGATGAGCAATGTGCCATTTTCTTCTAATATAATGTTTGCTTCTGAAAATTTCAGGAAACAATGGGGAACTGTTATGGAGCATCTCCTGAAAATTTCACATGGATCCATTAAGCTTTCACTGAGTTATGAATCTCACAATGCCATTACATGGTTTTCGTGTACATCAATGATTATAGTAAAATTGTCATAACTCTACAACGACTCGATGAACTTCACTGAAATTTATACTGTAGATAGCTAGAATAGAGTGCTACACAATGAGATGTTGGCCGACTCAAACGGTCTTTCCTTTCTCGAATTATGGGTTTCACAACGGACATGACTACTACCTATTATAACTCCGTTCCAACTCGAGCAATTATGACGGGGCTTATGCCTGCGATCAGCATTCATCATAGGGTATATACATACAAAATTTCAGCTGTCTACCTCTTATTTTGAGTGAAGTTCAGGGGGGTGAGGGACTTTTGGCCAGCACTGTATTTTGTAAGGGCACCAACTTCCTCTCGTCTCTACACATTACTTTAAATTACGTTCAAAAGAAAATGGAACGTGTAAAAACGATAGTGCTCATAAAATCAAGTTCAATTCACTTTATCTTACCACTCTACTCTTGTATCTTTGATGTGGTGTACCATAAAGAAAATCTAAAAATATTATCGATTTTATTCGATTGTTTTATATTCGAAATAATATTGAGAATTTTATATCCGTTACTAGTTCTTAGAATTTCTCAATATTATTGAACACCTATACAAATCAGCAATACATGTTATTGATATTGCTTGTTGTGTATCTTTTACAGAGAAATATTACGATATGTACAGATGATGATTATGTAAAAGATTATTTATTTTATACAAATATCATTCATACTGAGTGAATGATAATTGGTCTTTCGTTACATTCATTGTCCACTCATAAATGGTGAATATGAACAAGAGACTTCAATTTTATCTTAGGAAAACTATTCTCAGACAATATGTTTAGACCAAGTACATATATTAATCAGAGTTTTCCTCGAATACAAGAAAATAACCAATATACAAGAGTGAAACAAATTTTCATGAGTATAACCATGTCAATATCTCAATCATTCCCTAGTTTTTGTAATCAAACGAGAAATTCCGATAAAAAAATTGTGAGTTGATAAACTAATTTGTCTTTTAGTTCTCATATCAAGACGAACACAGTGAGAAACTATCATTCGATTCATTGATCAATTTTTGACTCAAAAAATCATTCACATAAAATTTCACAAAGTATATTTGGAAAATCTCTTCTTCTGTTACTTCGTACAAGAAATTATTGATTGGAATTTTGATCACGTCCCTGAAAGAAAGAAATAAAGTCAACTAAGTATTTGTAAAATAATTACTTTTTTATCATCATTTTTTTGCAAATAATCGGCGCTGCCGTCGAGAATGATAATCATTGTTGATTCAATATTTTTGTTTTTCTTGGCTAAAGATAAAGCAACACGCACACGCACGTGTGTGATTCAAGTGCATAATTTTTTTATAATTCAAGAGTTATATCGAAAACAAAAATGTTTATCATGTAGATCATTCAATATAAAAAAAATGATTTATTTTCATTGAATTAATTTTTCTTTTCTTTTCTCTCGGTCGATCATAGCTCTTTTGCTTCGATATTGACTGCACAACATATTCGTCGTCATTATAGATTTGAGATGAAAATAGAAACAATTGAACACAATATGTTTAAAGATAAAAAAGACATCGTGCGCTCGTCCTCTTCCGTTATCATCACACACCGGCCGGTTAATAGTCGCTGCATGTCGTCGACGTCGTCTTTCTTCGCATCCTTCCGTTTTCATGCCTTTGATTTCTTTCCGTTTCTACATTGTTCTTGTAACGGAAGAGTGATTTTATACACATAATGAGCTCCAGGAGGTGGCTCCAGAACAAATTAATCTCCCCAGGGATATCCGACGTTCTGTTGGTCAGGCGTGCAGATGGTAGGCCTTCGCAACTTACATCTATGCATGCATGACTAGAAGCGTTCATCTCATCATCATCTTTTCAAAGGCGATGACCATGGATGTACTAGTCACGCATACATCGATGTATGTTTGCCTAACCATTGCCGGCTTTGCCCACTGTACGAGCCAATGAAACACGGAGGGTATCCCTGGTCCCGCGTGTGCGAAATTTTTTAACACTTGCACTTCGGCGAGCCATACGTGTTCAAGATTGGCAATTTACTTTCTTATTTTAAAATAAAAAAATTACATCTTCTTTTTTACATTTTCAATGTTTCGTTTCGATTGTGCGATATATGGATGATTCGGTGGTAAAGTTTTCCGATCGATTTCATGTGCTTTTTCATAATTTGAAAGTGCTTTCGAGTACTCGCCCATGTTATAATACACCAAACCGATATTGTTGTAGTCAGAAGCTAAATCAGGATGATTCGGAGGGAGAGCTTTTTGGTCGATATCAAGTGATTTTTCGTAATATGAAAGTGCTTTCGAGTATTCGCCCATGTTATTATACACCAAACCGATGTTGTTGTAGTCAGAAGCTAAATCAGGATGATTCGGAGGAAGAGCTTTTTGGTCGATATCAAGTGCTTTTTCGTAATATGAAAGTGCTTTCGAGTACTCGCCCATGTTATAACACACCAAACCGATGTTGTTGTAGGAAGCAGCCAAGTCGGGATGATTTGGAGGGAGAGCTATTTTCTTGATTTCAAGTGATCGCTCATACGATGAAAGTGCTTTCGAGTACTCGCCCATGTTATTATACACATTACCGATGTTGTTGTAGGAAGTAGCCAAATCGGAATGATTTGGAGGGAGAGCTATTTTCTGGATTTCAAGTGATCTTTCATACGATGAAAGTGCTTTCGAATAATCTCCCATGTTATTATACACCAAACCGATGTTGTTATAGGAAGCAGCCAAGTCGGGATGATTTGGAGGGAGAGCTATTTTTCGGATTTCAAGTGATTGTTCATACGATGAAAGTGCCTTCGAGTACTCGCCCATATTATCATACACCCGACCAAGTTGAAGATTATAATCCGATCGTTCTTTGTCAGTAGATGCCTTTTCGAGGAGTATCTGATAGAGATGTTCTGCTTGTGCAGGCTTACCTAATTTAATAAGTATAGAACCTAGTCGAGGCCATCCTTTTGTCCAATTAAATTCTTCGCGCAGATGTGCCGTAAGTTTATTAAAATCATCATCTTGATTACCTGCGAGGGTGAGATTGACCTGCCATAGGCGATCCGTACGCTCGTCGTGAATTTTTTCAATGCGGTCGATGCGAAAAATTGTATGCGTCGAGAACAGAATTTCTTCTTCTTTGCCTTTAAAGAAGCTAACTTTGCTGACGTCGGCGAAAGGTGTTGATGATTTCATGCAAATAGCCGTGTCGATGGTCATAACAAAGAGGATACCAACAGAAGTAGTATTCCTTGTGGCTAGCCGTGCGAAATTGTTAAATGAGACCATGCGATTGCGACTGGTCGATAAGAAATTATTAAAGGACATAAGTCCTCCTTTGGTTTTTTTCATCTTTTCAAAGTCTTCCATGGACAAACCTTGTCCGCGAAAGACTTGAAATTTAGCTGGCACAGTACCTTGTTGTTGACGATGTAATTCAGCGATATGATTGTGTAAGTGGCGAATGAAGAAGCCCATTTTCATTATAATATCGACATCCATTTGTCGAAGTCCACGATTAAGTACGGGATAAATGAACGTTTCGGCTGTATACCACCATATTGGCGTATGAGCACGATATTCACGTTCAATTTTTTCAATTTGATCTTCTGGTATATCTTGTTCCAGACGGCAATAATCAACAAGGCCTTTAATAGCTTTTTTATCATCGTCTTCGATTTGTAAAAGTGCTTCCTTTAATAATTGCGTATACATAAATAGCGGATCTAGACCATTATAACTGATCGAAACCATAGCTCGATCACATCGTTCACGATCGATTTCAAGTGCTTCACAAATTGGTTTAATATCGGTGTAAACACCTTTGACCTTTGAGATTGTATTGGCCCATGGTTCGTGAAATGATTTATTGCCACAAAAGACATAAATTGAGTCTAATTGTGGCAATGTTTCGATTTTGGGTACAAAGTTTTGTCCAATTGAACCAGATACAATTATGAAAACTTTTTCTTTTTTAATTTCGCCAAGAAATTCGAAACATTCTTGAGCATCCGTAAACGTCGTAATGGATGCCACAATATGCTGTAGATTTTTTAATGAATTTTTAAAATCTTCCTTGGTCTCGTCAATATTCGCATCGAGCCAGACGAGAAGGAAGTTTTGAATAATTCGACGAACAGGTCGGAGAAGCGGCGCATTTCTGCTTACCGACGCAGTTGTTGTTGCTGCAGCGGCTTCTGATGATGATGATGATTTTTTGGTTTTGACTGTCGTGGAAGACGAGCCACTTGCACTTGGTTTTAAAATGTTTTTGTTCATCAAACGTAATAGTGTTGACGGTGACAATGATATAGTTGAAATGTTGTAAACGAATAAAAAAAAAAAGTCTCTCTCTCTAAATATATTTTCGTTGTTTCTTCATTTTTATGTTGACACTCGTTGGTGTTTGCCTATTGTTATCGATTTGAAGGACTTCTTATCTCAAGCGTTCGTTCTCTTATTTTAACAGTGTTCCGAGCAAAATTTGCGTACACACATGTAACATGATAGTAGGAAGAACGACAAACGAAAAAGACAAAGAAGTTTGCAATATTGTCATAGATAAAAAGGAAACAAATTATAAATAGAATTTAAAAAATGTTTTATTGCTTGTTCACATTGTTTTTCATTTTGGTTGTTATTGCCGCAGACTTCATTAGACAAGGAAGAAGCTTATCAAAACAAAACAAAAAAAGACAAACCAATATTTTCTGCTATTTCGTTTGTTGTCTGTATGCACATAACACATCTCATTGCTTCTTGATCATTAGACAATGTATTTTCTGATCATCCGATGTAGGTGTGATACGATTTAAAGAGAACTCTAATACCTCTTTCAAATAATTTCAAAATATGTTAACATATATATGTTACATAATAACTATTTTGATACTGGGAATTCTTGTGAACGAACTCCGGCTTAGTGATGCTCGTTATTATCGGGTGTCCCAGGAATAATGAGCCTCCCAGTATTTTTAAGATTTCCTGTCTATTATCACTGTAAGTAAAGCTGTCTTAATTATCAAAAGAAAGCGCTTAAAATTCTCTACAAAACCAT